AGTTAATGCGAAAGCGGCCTTGTACGACGTGCCAATTAAAACTATTTTTCTTTTAAAACTTTTTATAATTGGGTCGAGCGTGAAGTTTACAACAACGATGCAACTTATGAGTGCGCGTTTGAAGAATAATTTTCTTCCTTTTTTTTTTTTTTTTGTTGACGTTACACCATAGACCGCGTTTTCTTAATGGATTCGTCATTAGCCGGAACACACATACAGTAGAGAGGGTCAATAGTTGAAACGGTCTAAACACGCCAAAAACAATTTATGTAAAACCAATTAACCCGACATGCCAACAGTGAAATTAGAAGAAAAAAAAACTTTTATCGATATAGACTTAAAATTACACCGGAATCGAATGCCTATGGGCACGGCGCTCCCTCCCTTACAGCATATTATAATATGTACAAGGTACCCGCCGTCTGAAAATAAAGAACTTTTTTAGACATTTTGTAACGTACCAAAGGCATAATAATAGAAACAATTTGGCTCTGGCCGTGAAAACGTAAAATATGCCTTGCCGAAAATGCCGCAGGGTTGGTTCATGCCAACCTACCGGGAATTATGTTCCCTAGTATTCAGAAGCGACGTGTCACAGTTGAAACGCTTACATTACAAAACTAACACGGTTAAGGACTGTCAGGCTAATTGAAGGGGCAGGTGGTCTACCGAGAAAATATACATTGTCGTTATCCGTGAACGGACGACGTATGTCCATTTTGAGCACGTGGCGTTTGTTGGTCGCAGCGAGAAAAGAGCAAACCGAAAAAAAGTTTCACGGTAATTTCCGGAAACTTGTATGCGTTGATATCACTTAAACAAAAACAGGTACTTGCAAATTATTCAGCGGCGTGCATTTGTTTATGTCGATAGAACATTGTATTAATATTAAATGCGTTGTCGACGTCGGGAAATTATGACTTTCTAGGCAATCCGTACGGTGTTATATTATTACAATTCCGCTGACCGTAGGGTATACACGAGGCGTTAAAAAAAAATAATTGTATCGAAAAAAAAATTAAACAATGTCATTTGGACTACCGATTTCGGGAACACGAACGTAATTCGACCCTCGTTTAAAATAGCGTGGCACGTGCAGCAGGATTTGCATTTGGGTATATATATATATATATATTGATGCCCTTAAATAATATTTATCCCGAAACTAAGTTTTAGCCGAGCTTTTCTTCTATTTGTCGAGTCTACGGACCGTTCTGTGTACATAATTATGTGCATTCTACACCACTAGGACTAGTTTGTCACTTTTATTTGCTATTGTCCTTACCGGGCAACTTGCCCGCAATTAGTAAGTCGGAGATAAATGATAACAATTATAAGTAATAACATAATAAAAATATTAAACTTCTATGACTATTTTGTTTGTTCGTCATATTATATTATACACAATTACATAATTATAAACAACGACGGGTTTTAGACTTGTTTTTTTTGGGGGGGGGGGGGGAGAGTGTGAGGGGAGATGTCCTTACAATATTTATCGATCACATTGTACATTTCGCATATTTTACAGATCGCAGTTGTCGTGCATGGAATATATTATTATGAAACAGGGTGGATGGGTTTCACACCACCGGACACCATCACCGAAATGTACACCACCGTTTAAAAATGTTGTTTTACAAAACCCGAGATAGTCGTAAGATATATTACGGTTAGAGTATATTATTATAATGCTGGGGGACTTTATGGCTTTTGTAACAGTTGACGTTAAATTTCCGGTTTTTGTACTTTTGTTGTCGGGCCAGAATACAGGAAACACGTTTTCAGGCGTTGCGCTTCATCATTTTGCCGACGTATAAGCTCTGAGCTATTTTGCTTGTACATCCACTGTTGTTGTCACTATACACAACTAGTGCAGTCATGTAAATGTCTGAAACAATTGGATTAAACAGACGTACTCGCCGGGAGAGAGAGAGAGAGAGAGAGAGAGAAGATATTCCATTTACATGTAATTATAATACAGTCATATTATTAGTATTATTGTCAACTGTTCGCCAGGTCGCAGACATTACCGCAGTACCATGTAGATATACGAATAAACGGCATTGTATCGAGGAAATAATATTCACCTATGTGCGTTTGTCTCGAGTTCGTTGCAAAGACAATAACGGTGATGAAGCCATACAAATCGGAGGTTAATGTACGAAATTTGATTATTAAATGGCACGGGGGTTGTCGGCAAGACCCCGCCAAAGGCCACGAAGTTTAATAATCGATATAATGCGTGTTAGTGCTTAGGTCAAGAGCCGGTGGCTGTCGTTTAACAATAACAACACTAATAATACAGGGTTTACTGAAAACTCAATTCGAACAATACAGATTACCCGGGTATTGTCAAACTGTGGAGCTCCCCTCCCCAAAAAAAAATTCAAATGGCATATATAGCCGCAAATATTGTCAGACACACTTATGGAGATGCTAGATTTCTAGCGAACCATTTTTCGTTGGTTCTCGAACGGAACGCGATGGCTGTATGTACAGTTGAATAGACTTATCCCAAATGAGGAGCGGCTCATTTGCATAAAAGGAGCACTGTACAGCCATATCGACACAAAGGCAAAGCCGAGGTGTACCTTAAGAGGTTGACAATGCGTTTACGGTTGCGGCACTTCCCACGCTGTATGTTTTTGTGCGAGACAGCAAGATAATCTCGTTGTCTTGCCTTTGCACCGATTCGCCGATTTATTCAAATTTAAAATACTACAATACAATATAATACTCTTCCGTCCATTTCAATCAGAATATATTTCGGCAAGTCGGTGTAAAATTGCAAAAAATTTGCATAAAAATTTCCCTAAAAATCTGCCAAAACTTGAAATGTTGAATAACTGTTACGCTGTTAGTTGTTACACACACGAAACCGTCGTGCGATTGTAAAAAATACAAATGTTTTAACTCAAAATCTATTATCAAAAGTGAACAGTGGACACCCGTGGTTACTAGTTTGTCTGAATTAATTTAAATATAAATACATTGTAATAGTGTTTTCGGTTTTCGAAAGGAAACGGGTTTAGTTGTGCGAGAGGTGAAGTTTGGATAATTTTACATAAAAATAATCATAATAATTTTATATGTCAGTAATCCCACAACAGCCACCGAATCGCATTGGCGTGGACCGCCGAGGATATTATCTTGCCTAACGTGCATTAAGATGTGTATGATAATATCACAATATGATATATATATTGCGGTTGTGTCACGGTTTTACGTATTTGTTATTATGAGACATTAACCGGGATGAAGAAATAAATTGACAAAATGTGCCTAAACGTGTTAGCTTGGCAAACGCAAAGTTCCCAAAACGGTTCCCATCACAGCGTAGCGGCTCTAAAATTGTTTTAAATAAAACTCAGGCGATTTTAGCAAATGTAACGGCCTATAATTAATAGAAAACAGTTAACAATAAAAATAATATGTTGCCTCTCGGTACTTTTTATTTGTATCATAATAGCATTTTGTATAATGAGCTAAAGGCCGTTTAGATGAGATCGCTGGGTTTTGTTTGATCAACCGTTTCTTACACGATCGAATTGCAGACTACCGAAATTCATCCTTTACCTCGTTATCTTATTGATCGGATAATTTCAGCTCAGTACGATTAGGACAACATTTATAACCTATTCGACCACGATAAGCGGCATCCACTGCAGTATAATCTTCTTTGGAAATTAATAACAACGCCGCCATTGGAAGCGGTATAGGAAGCTACAAGAAGCTTCTCTCTGGTTTCCTTTCTAGTTTTGCATCATAATACTGATACTCAAATAAAAGACTATGTTATTATAATATGTATACATAGATTTTCTATTTTTTTAGCATGGAACATGCTTTAGCCTTGGCCTCCCAGCTCGAAAACGACACGAAATAGCGTCACGAAAGTAGCGCGTCTACTTTAAATTAATAATATACCGAGTCGTCGTCGTCATGCAAACGTTTTGGCCAGAACATATAATTATGACTATACTATCGTCATAAATCGCAAAGAGATTATAGATCAGTAATAATCACTATTCAGGAGCCAGCAGGCTAAAGCATGTTTCATGTTTTATAATTTTAGCCGTTAGGCTTTAAGGAGACTGTAACTTTTATGGTTATTTCACTTAACAAAATGTCAGTGCTTACTTTGTGCTCCAAATTAGCCACTTTTTCTATCCATAATAATATGCTTTTGATTTAATAAAATAATAATTTTCCTATAATGAACGATCATGTTTATGAATACTAATAAGAGTTGATACACTTCAAGAAAGTCAAACAAATGGTTTTAATAATTTTATTTTATTTGACATTCTTCCAATGATAAAATATCATGTGCTTCGGGACGTTTGTCGAAAACGTACCGTTAGATGGACCTAACCGCATGGACGATTCTTCTTTGAACACAAGTATCACAATATCCTTAGGTGCAATAATTTAAACATCATTCCTTTGTACCGACTCCAACTCTTCTTGTGTTTTAAGATAATGGTTTTTTTTTTTTTGCTACTCTTCTTTGACTTGTCTCTGCGGGCGGTCTACGGCCGTTGTGTTGTTTGAAGGTTACGTCGACGTATGAATAAGCTTCGCGTTATATATTCGATTGCTCGCCGTGCCGATATTAAGTCATAAAAACGTGTATTCGATAATACTGACACGGTGTTATGGTTATTTATTTTTATTTTATGATAAAACTCGTATAATTGTCTCGATGATATACATATATGGCAATGAAGACGGTCGCTTTGCCGGAGCAAGTAGTACAACCGCCTGGTGATTGCACAATAATTATTTCGGATGCGACCGAGTGGCATATGTATACGAATCGTATGCAACTATCGCAAAAACTGGTCGTGTTCCATACCGATCACCCCATAATGACGCAACAACAGAAAATGTCAGAATTCTTAGAGCGGAGAAAGTGTCATGTGCGAACCACTATGCCGTCGATTAAAAAAAAAAGTCAAGGGGGAATCCCGAAGAGCAAGGGGACAAAACAACATTATCAAAATCGCAGCCGCACAATTATAAAAACACAAGCCATCCAGTGTTAGGCATCAGTTGTGTCTCTGGGGATCAATCCGACAATACCATCAGCAACAGCAGCAGAAGAGCATCCGTAGCAGTACCATGAAATTTTTTAAGGTAAAAACATATCATTACCGTATTTACAACAAATTATTAAGTATTTTTTTTTATTATACTTGCACCGTAGCGACATTTTATACAAAAAAAAAAAAAAAACATACACTATCTGTATTGTAAATTCACTGGTTTTCAACGGCTGTTTTTTTATATTTTTACAGGCTTGTGTGGTCGGTTTGGCCCTGATCAGTCATTGTTTGGCCACTGAAACCACCAAGACAACCGACAAGAAAGCTAACATCAAGAGGAGCTACGAATTAGGAGGACTCTCTGGTTATTCTGGACTCGGCGAATCCTCATATGGATCGTCGCTAGGAGGATACGGTTTGGGTGTCCCGGCTTACTCTCCCGGAATCGGTTCCGGATACGGTCTAGGCTCTGGATTAGGCCTCAGCTCTGGATACGGTATCGGCTCTGGATTAGGCCTTAGCTCTGGATACGGATATGGCGCTCCAGCAGGAATCGGTTTAGCCGCTCCGGCTTACGCTGCCCCGGCCATCTCATCCGTGCCCACTAGAGTCAGCACCTCCAACCATGTTGTCTCGGTGTCCGTGCCACAACCATACGCCGTGCCAGTGACCCGTCACGTACCAGTGTCCGTACCCCACCCAGTGCCCGTCGAGGTCCCCAGAGCCGTTGCGGTCAGCGTACCTCACCCGGTCCCGGTTACCGTTAACCGACCTTACCCGGTGGACGTACCCCGTCCAGTACCGGTCAGCGTACCCCACCCGGTGCCATACCAAGTTACCCGGGCAGTGCCATACCCCGTAGCTCAACCGTACCCCGTGGAAGTCCGCCAACACGTGCCATACTCCGTGCCGACTCCCGTCATCGCACCGGTCCCGGCTCCGATCGCCGTCGCAGCTCCAGCCGTCAGCTACGCCGCCCCAGCCATCGCAGCTCCAGCTCCAGCCATCGGCTACGCCGCTCCAGCCATCGCCGCTCCCTTGTCCGGATACTCATCTTATGGTTCGTCATTGGGCGGTTTATCCTATGGATCATCGCTGGGCGACTATTCTGGTTCTTCATTGGGCGGTTACAGCAGCGGATACGGCAGCGGTTACAGCAGCGGATACGGCAGTGGATACGGCAGCAGTTACGGTAGTGGATACGGCAGCGGTACGGCTCTTCCAAATACTCTCATTACAAGTAATTATAAACACCACATAATTTTCTTAACATATTTCATGCAAAATTACTCGAGTGTACCAACATAAGCATTCAATTTAACATGGGATTTGTGTTGTAACTGAACAACTATACACAATTTAAATATTAACTAAAATTTTAATTTTTTTTTCAGATGAGCAGTCCCTCGACTCGTGGACGGTATAGTCAATTTTCTATGATGTTTTGTTTTAAAAGTTGTTAAATGTTTTCAAACATAAGTGTGTTAACACATGCATAAGTTGTTTAATTTTAAGTATTAAATGTCTCATACGTTATACCATCACTATCTCATAAAATCATGTTGCCATTTTATATTAAATCAAAATATAAATCATTTTGACTGAAATAACGCCTGTGTAAAATAATTTGTACAATAATTAATTGAATTGATTTAGTTCACGCGACCTTAATACATGGTACGACATGATGACGTGGCAATTAACGTTACGCATAATAGATCATGTTGCATCCCTTTAGGTTTTTGTGTCAATTACATAATTGGTTATTACCACCAATATGACACTATTATAGTTAGATAACTTATAATTTATGTACTACTTGTAAGAAGCAATATTGAAGTTTGAAAAATCCAAATATTCAAATTACAATAATTCTTTAGTTTTTTTAAAACTAAATTCTATTTTTCTATTTATTACAATAATTAATATTATGTAAATGAAATTACAAAAGGTCTGAAATAATTAAAGTTTAATTACTTATTAGGATCAATTGCGAGTTATAAGCTGGTCATTATGATTATAAGGGTTGACGAGAACGGAATTTAAACCGTGGAATTAATGTGAATTTCGGTAGGGGTAAAGGGAATATATAATATTATCTGGGTCTCAGTGGAAGATAATCATTTTTTTTTTTTAAAGTTGCTCTAAAGGATTTATAATTTCTCCGAAATACAGTTGAAATTTTAAAGGAAACTCTAATTTAAAGCTTATAAACACCTTTTTTGGCATTTTACTACTTATTTAAGTATATTTTTACACACGTACTACATTTACCCTTAGTATTAATACTTAAGCCCTAAAATAAGCAATTCTTTTAAATTTTAATTTAAACAGGTGAAGGCCATATTTTTAATAACAATTGTTATTTAACGATGTTTGCATATTTTAAGGAAAATTATACTTAAATATAAGTATTTTATACTAAGTCATGTAAAATATAATATTAAAATGTATTAAATTGGACTTTATAGTTATAATTATAGTCTCAATGGTAACATGATAATATTATAAAAAAATAATGTAATATTAAAGATACAGCATGTAAAAGTATTTATTATATTACACAAAAACACGGTCTACGGTTGCAACGCTGAACTATTCAGTTGTTATTGTATGATATAAGTGAAAATTAAACTAATTTCATAACTTTAAAAATATTTTCGCTTATCTACATAAAATAAATTTATATTTATTCTTGGTTTTACCGTGTTTGAACTTAAAATTCAAATTGTTTTGAAGATATTTTTTTAAACTGTACAATGGTTTGCAGCTCAAGTATTTTTTACATAAATTTTAACATGAACCGTTGTATGCGTTCAGGAATTTGTTTTGAAAATTTATTTTAGCGTTGTTAAACAAAATTAGTAATTCCCAGAAGAGAGGAAAATTAAATTCTCTGTGTTAAAATACTGTAGACAGGTATTTAAAAAAAAAAACATATTGTATTCTAATTAAAAAAATTGTTTTACTAAAAGGAAAAATAATATTATAAAATGTGCTTTGATAATATCGAAAAAAAGTATAAATTTTAATATTCAATATTAGTTTATTAGTATATTGAGTTGTTTTAAAACGTTACGTTCTAGAGAAAACAATAGGCTTTTATTGGGGCGTTTCTTTTTACCTGTCTTAGGATAAGGGCTTCTAGCCGTTTTATAAGGGTCGACCTCGTTCGGTAATCCTATCAAATTTGCGGACGCAAATGTTTACTTCAGAATAATAATATTTTATTCCTACTTTTTTTGCATAATCTTATCTAATTTTTGCATAAAATATTAGTACAACTTATAACGCGATAAGCTCAAGTGCATCCGCCGTTTTTTTTTTACATTAATTATACATGCAACATATATTAGTTGAATATATTTAGTAGACTTTAATTTAGGGTGACTTAACTAGATTCACATGATTGATTCCAAATATTTTAAGATAATTCAAATAAGAACATGTTTGTGCACCAAATATGATTTGTTTCTATTCAAATATTTTACCAGTATTTGAAATACGTCATACAATAGCGATTATTTAAAAAAAATACGATAAATTCAATTAAATTAAAATGTTTTTTATAAAACAGTTTTAAAAGCAAATTTGTTTTCTATTCAATTTATTTGGCTTAAAAAAATAAGCATACGGCTTTTTAGTCGACAACGGTAGACATATGTGTCACGGCGACGGGTATAACGACTTTTTGAAAGAGTTATCAGTTATATAATACTGTAAGTACGAAAATCATTTAATTGTACAAACTACTTTTATTGTATAGTTTAACCGGATATAATATATAATACATAATTTCAAGTCGACCAAGGCAGCTGCGAAAACGGCTTGCAAAGATCACACGTCTCGCGCAACTTGTTTTCTGAGGAAAAAGAAAACAAAAAAAGGCACTCATATTGTTGTAGAAACGACCGCTTATTATATAGCCAATGGTTTCACTTCAATTATTGCAAAACAGTCAGAACTCGTTTGCTCTTATATTATATTGTTGCACATATTATGAAGAGGCATTCTTATAGTACTATATACAAATATTTTTTGCTGAATATTTTAAACGTAGGCAACGGTTGATAAGTTTTTTTTGTGGGGCAGGGAAAGGAGCTAATTAATAATAATAGAAAATCTTGAGCAGTTTTAAGACTTATGTTTTTGCTTGCGTTAAACCAATTGAAATTCATTTTCGAAAAACGTGAGAAATAAATGAATGAACGATAACTGTAATAAATAAACATAATTCAGGTAGTTGTTTTTTTTCTTTTTCAATGGCCTAAACCAGTTTTTGAGACACTCTCCGGCTCGACACATATAATATAATATAATGCTGTGTCCTAAACCTGTTGGCATAATATAGTATTAACGTTTACTTGCCTACTGGAGAGCGAGTGTGACATTCAACGCGTGAATCGGCGACAGTTTCGTTTACACAAGTATTATTACTTATACACTGCAGTCTACACAAAGCTTCTTTTGAACTAATTAAGTACCCGTTGTTTAGTGCTGTTCAGTGAAAGTTATAAATTACCTAGACCGTCTTCCTTTGTTCTCGAATGTACTGGGGTCGAGTCTGCCAGAAGAGACCCCAACCCGCAAGTCGATTTTATGTTTATTTTTGACTTGGGAATTAAATAACAAACTACAGTTAATGTTGTTGTTATAGAGGTCCGAACTCGAAAGTCAACTGTGTTTCTTGAATTAATACAGCAAGATTAAGGCGTTTCTTGGTATTTAGGTAGCCCTGGGAAACCTTTTCAGATGACCCTTTTTCCGGATGCTCAGGCTAGACGAATGACCGTAAAATAGACAGAAGCATTTGTATCACAACTTCATTCAGTTAACCATCTCATTTTTAGTTACATAATATATGTATACATAATAAATTATAACATAATATGATATTTTTAACACTAGCGTTTTAGTTTCGATGCGTAGCTTAGAAGGTGTTGTTTACCGATAAACGTTGATAAAACCAAAAACATATCATAATTCCTTTACACTAGAAGGGGTGTAAACCTTTCCTTTATTACGCCTTTTCACGTGAAGTTTTAGAGCTTAAGGTCGGAAAATTAGTTCTAAGGTAGATCTAAAATGGGGCTATAAAACATTATACAGTTTTCTCATAAATCTGTAATCAAACTTTTATTTTATTAAGGAAAAACCAATAAAAAAAAAGGAAAATTACACTTTGACCGTAGTCATTTTGTAGGTTGCTATGTATGAGTCAATCAACAGTCAACGGGTATTTGAAAATGTTTTCATTATTTGTTAATAACTCATATAGACCTGCAAACACACCAGCGTCAATATCATGATCCGTGCCCGCTATGCACCGACCCCACTGTATTGGTTTTTTTTTTTATAAAAATACACATAATATTATGATAATTTTTTATTTTTTGACAATCTCGGGTTATACTTAGACGGTTCAATTGTATTCAGAATAAAAATTATTTTAACTTTCGCAACTCCTACATAAAAATAACCGTTCAAAGAAAACACAAACAGCTTTCAGAAAAATAACTACTTACTTTTCATTGCCGATTCCGATCGAAGTTTATGATGAACAAACATCAGACAAGGAGAATAGGATCATTGAAGGCATTATAGTATTATAAAAAAATGTCCTACTTGGCCACCTACGCGCAGCCCTGAAAAATATTTTTAACGATGCGTAAAAAGAAACCAAATCGCATGGACAGGAGTCTGTTTTGACAGTTCTTAGATTAAAATAAAATTTCTTCTTTTGGCCGTTATTTAGTGGAGTAGAAATATTATATACAATTTCCTCGTTAGACGTGCGCGAGGTGTTGCTGGACCGGATAAAGAAAAATAATAAATAGACTAAGATTAGTCTTTTGCTGTAGATAAATAGCCGAGAGAGAAGCAGCCTAATGTGGTTGTTTGGTTGTGAAAAAACCACGAGGGCGATAAGAACGCAGTTTCGACGATACAAGTAAGCCGAATAAAAAAAAGGGAAAAGTAAATATTGAGATGGTGATGCAAAAGTGTCTGCCGCTAAAAGAAAATATTAGAAATGGCGTTTTACAGGATCGAGGATTAGGATGGCCGACCTTAATCAAACCATGATCACATTTTGAAATTTTGATAATAAATTCAACCGTCAGAAATATGATTGCGTAAGGGAAATGGAGGTACAGCTGTTGCTTAAATATTTCAAAATCGGATAAACATGACGTAACAAACACATACAAGTGTCAAGCTCGCTGTGTGAACGTTCCCACGTGCAGACTCTGTAGCTCATAAAAATCCCATCTAACTATACTCGAAAAATAACGAAAGATACTGTAGTAATACGCAGCATGGAATTTTGTACTTCAACTATTTGATGTACAACACGAATTTGTAACTTACTGTGCTGTCTTTTTTTTTTTTAGAATTCTATAAAATTAGCAAGTGCTAAAAAATCCGAGTCCCGATCAATAACGTAGACAGACTTTCGCGTTTTGCAGTAACTTTTTCGGCTCGACATTTACTACAAGTCTTATTATTTTAATATTTATTTCATTTTAAATTGCCTCGTTTTCGTGTAAATCATTTGTACCCGTCTAAGTAAATTAACCAAAGCGTTGGTGTATCCTTATGCCGTCCTAGC